ATAAAACTAGAGAAATATATTATTTATTTAAATTTAAAACTTTTCTAAAAGAGGCCAATAAAAAGCTGTGTACAGAGAAACACAATATTACTGTTAAACCACAGCAGCACTAAAATATTTGGGCAACAGAACTGTTTGTCTTTCTCCCTTGCAAATCTCTCTTTCTCCCCCCATCTTTACAGTCTGAGATGCCAGGCAATAACGTCACCAACTTCTAAGGGTATGTCCTGTTCACCATCAAGAGGTGTAAATACAGCAGTACTAGACAACATTAGGCCCATCTACACAAGGAAAACCAGGTCTTGGAAAGGCCAACTTTTCCCCATCCCAGCCCAATCCCTTCCGTAGTTTCTGAATTGCTGTAAGTGTTTTACCCCCCTGTGAAACTAAATCAGGTATGGACAAGGATAGGCATACTTTACCCTTTGATGCTGAACCTCACTATGCTGATTTGGTGCCCCAGTGTTCACAGCCAGCCTCTAAGAGTACAAAAGAACAAGCACACTGTGATGGTGCTCCCTTATTCAAGGGAGTATCACCTACTGAAGACAAGGGACGAAGCTTGAGGGAGCGACCACATGTTTGGAATCTCTTCCCTTCTATCCAAAACACACCTCCTGAGATTCCAGTTGAGAACTTAGAACAGGTAAACATTTCAAAACAACATCATATTGTGTCAAACACATAACTAGCATTACTGAAGCCTACTGAATTTTGTACATATCCGGTAGGAAACAGGTCTATACACATGAAAACATGCAACACAACATTATTCTGCTGAAGGTTTAAAGAGAGCACTGCTGCATTTTGACCCTGCTCACATTTTTCTCTGCCACAGCAAGTTTGCTGACAAACACCCATGAGCACCGTCTCCTTCCTCGCCCCGTGCTGCAGTTGGTATCACCGCCCATGGCCAGGCCGGGCTCAGGCTTGCAGGACGACAAGCTGGCTGGAAGCAGCTCAGCCCACAGATTCGTGGCTGTTGGGACTGGCTTTTGCTATCAGTAATAGACAAGTCTCCTGTCTAGGCAAAGAAATACGGCAGCAAAAACAGTGGAAAACCCAGCAAAGTAGAGCTATTTTCCAGTTCCTGTATCTAATGTTAACATTGAAAATTCTGCTGGGACCACAGGAAGAAAAGACAACCTGACATGAAAATTGTAACATTGGAACCAGGTACACAGAAGTCCTTTTCATTGCAAAGAAGTAGTCAAAATGACATCTATATCTACACCTAAGGAAAAATTTACTTCTGCCTTGAGGCAGCCTTGGCAATAACATTGTTGCAAGCAGAAAACAGTTTATCAGTTTTGGGGGGAATTTAACTCAATTTACTTTATCTGTCAATTAATAAACTTCTAATTACTGCTTCTGGTATTGAAACACACACACACAGAGGGGAAACAGCGCCCTTGCTCTCCAATCCCCTTGCCGTACCTGGTCCCAGCAGGGAGGCGACAGGGCCGGCACGTGGTGGTGCTTCCTGCACTGGTCACGGTCCCTGCAGGGTCTTCTGGCTCCCCTCTGGCACGCAGCCGGTCCCTGGGGTCGGTTGGGGAGCCGGCTGGAACCAGCCATGACCGGTGCAGGGCAGCCCTGCCCTCCTCCCTCAGCCCTCGCTGCCAACACCGCGCCAACCGTGGCTGATACCAACATCCGTATAACTCGGTATGTGAGCAGGCAGACCTGCAGGGAGCCCCTACAACATACCTCAGTATTAAGCTAGAAGTTGAACTGCAGGTGAACGTCCAGGAAAGTCTGCCGTTTGCAACACATCTGGAACCTGCGCACCCTCCTCCTGAGGCTGGGGGACACTTAACACACACAGCTCTTCAGGACATCCACCTTTTGTCTGCCCCTTGGTTGCTGTTGTCAAAAATTGATTTTGATATTGTCAAAAATTGATTTTATTTTCATAAGCGAGCTACTCCCGGTCTTACCCTCTGACTCCACCACAAGCTCACAGCTCAAACGCAAGAAATACAAAGGACCATCAGCACAAGCTACACCTGGCACTCACTCCACGAACAGATTAGAGCAAGCTGACAGGTTACCTCCTAACTTTAAGTTTGGTATTAATACATTTTTGTAATTAACTCACGGGGGGAGCTGATGCATAGCAAGTAAATCCGACAGATTTGCCTACCTCTGGAGAACAAACAGTCTTACACTGCACAGAGAAGCTACATTCCAAGATGCCAGTAAAGCAGGACACAAGAAATGAAAGAAAATAACCAAGCAAATCCACCCTTCCTTGGGTCCCTTCATTCCTACTTCCAGAAGAAGGTCAGCATCGCCACTTCTTATGTGCATATAGTAAACAAATAGCTTATACAGACAAGTTGTTCTTAAAACAAATCAAAAGCACATCGGTGAAATGTGATCTAAAATAAACCAGCTATGTTTGAGGATATCAATATTTCCCCTGGCACTTCAGGATTCTGCAGCTGCAGAAATTCCTCTAACAAAATTCAAAAGAACTTAAAGCTTATGCTCCCATGGAAGAGGTTTCCAGACACAAGTATATTATATATACACATACACACTCCATCACAGTAACCAGACCATAACACTTGCACTGGAAAGCCCCTAGCCACACTTTAACATTTTGCTGATTTAGCTGTATCAGCCAAGATTATTTTTTTTTCTTGCTTCCCAACTATGCCAGCAAAAACGTTACTGCAGAAGCCCTTCTAGTGGCTGTGAAATTTTTCTGCCTGCATAAACTGTTCCTTTCATAGGACCCAGTTTAAGCAGCACCAGCAGAAAAATTCCTCTCGTAGTCACAGGGCCACCTCAGAAGGAAGTGGCAAGACCGGGTAATGAAAGTGTGCAAGCAGGAGGCGTGAATGCAAAGGAGAGCATTGCATCAGTCTAGCTTATGTCTACAGAAAAAGGGAGGAAGCAGTAACTGCCATCACACCAGGTCTGTGCCAGCAGAAACTAAACTGCAAAGTCACAATCCTACTGCAAGAAGTAACAGCAGTAAAATTCTGCACACAGGTCAGACTGACCAACTTCACTTTGAGAGATGTGGCATTTCATTTCCTATTTGGATTTTTGTGTCATGTTTTGTGTGTGATGTATAATCTTGAGAAACAAACAGACTGCCTGAAAACATAAGTGCAAGCCATTCCATTTATGTCAATTAGATACTAATCCTATCCCCCCCCAGAGATGACTACATGTCAGTTGGGTTAACAGTTTCACTGATAAGACACATATCACCATTTCTTTGCTAAAACTTATCTCAACTCCAAACCATCCGTAAAAGCCTGTTAGGAGTGAAACCACCCGTTTCCCCATCCAGGAGTAAACAACTTCTCCACTCTTCCTAATGATCACCCTTATAATGCAGTCTCATCTTGACTACGTGAAAAGTACTCAATATTAAGAATAGAGAGGTGTGGGTTAGAAAACAAAAAAGTTTAAGACAGATTCAGTATAAAGACTGCCCTGCCTGTGTTTCTACTCAAATATAAGTCTTCTCTGTCCCCTTCTTTTTTTTTTTAAACCCAGATCTGCTGCAGGTTATCCAGCCTGCCACATCACATCAACGCAGAAGCCAGTAAGGCCTGGCTGCAGAATTTAGGTCAGCTTGTCTGTGGAGTACATAAGGTCTTGCACACAGCCATGAATTTCCTAGTAATGCTTCAATAATCCCTCTTCATCCTGCTATGCAGCTATTTTACTAGTAGTTGCTAGCTTTCCTCTAACTCCAACAAAGAGTCTCCACAGGAGGGATGTTTGCAGGCGAATGAGCCACTGCCTCTTCCTTGAGAAGCAGGAAGCTGGTTGTTGAATCAAATAAATGCCGATTCTTATTTCCCAAGACAAAAAAAGTGAAGGATTCCCAACGCATGCTAGAAAAGGACTTCCCTTTTTTAACCACACAAGGAAAGAAATAATCAGACAGAGCTGAAAATTACCCTTAGAACATTAGGAATAATTTTCTTAACGGATCATTTAAACAAACCCATGCTGGGTCAATAAATAAAAAAAATAACATCAAAATGCGACTAATAAATTCAGACAGTCTAAGGGACAGATGCTGGTATTTCTGGAGAGAAAGCATCAACTCAAGGTGAAAAACACTGTGCCTCTTCAAAGAATGGTTCCCTCTAGAAGTGAATTGCGGGCCACTGCCATCCCAAGCATTGTACGAGCACACATAAGTAGTAGCCCTGTTCTTAAGGAATCTCTAAAGGTGCGTAAAAATACGCAAAGTCTTTTTAGAACATGGTCCTCAGAGCAGGAGTTCCACATAAACTGGAAAGCAGAGTCATGTAAGAAAAAATAAATCTTAATAGCATACACCAAAACCTTGATCTTCTCTGAGTCTTCATACAACAAGATGAATCTAACTAAGTCTTCTTAAGTGTGACAACCTGAAAGATGTGAATGCAAGAATAAATACCAGTTTCCAGGAACGGTTATGGGAATCTCAGCAAATAAAAACACAGCTAGTAAGCTGACAGTTCGTTTTGTCTTAAAACCCATCAATCTGCTACCTTTTTGGGCTCTGTGGTTGCTGCATAACATTGTGCTCCTCGAAAGCTGGCACTTTTATCTCCCTATTAGAAAAAAGAATAAAGCTGAGGAAAAACTCTTTCCTCAAGACATCAAATTGCTCTTCAACATTCAAACATTTGTTAAGAGTATTCCTAGTCCATTCCTTCCAACTCACATGGAGCCTGGATACAGGTATTGGCAAACACATACTGCGCCGTACTGCACATTAGATGTGTCAATCAAATACCCCCGAAAACACAAAGTTGCCATTTGTTTATGTTTACCTCAGATCTGTTACAGAACTCAAGCATATAACATGCACCCATGCCAGGCCTACAGATGACGTGGTTGTCGTTACTAGGCCACCATCGTATCACACATGTTAGCAAGACTTTTTAAGGAACAGAACTCTATTTTTATAACTAATGATCATCCACAACTTGATTCAAGTCAGCATCAGACAACGTTTCCCATTCCTGGCTCAGTACCTGATCAGGCTGTGCTTCTCTTCCTTCCTCCTCCGGCTTCAGCTGGGCTGACCACTGGCTCCAGGAGACTCTGGTGACAGGAGTACCAAGCCAGGTCACTGACGGTCACTTTCTCATTTTGACAAGCACCACAGACTCTTCCTGTATAAAAACAAACTGCTGTGAATCAAAGTGGCCAAATAAAGTCTCAACGCTAGCCAAGTGTCAGAGAAATGCCACTCTGTGACATGGAAGCAGAATGTTAGTCATCCTTTTGCCACCAGTGCCCGATCTCTGGGGAAGGCTGAGCACACCCTTATAATTTCAGAAATACTCTAATGAGTTGTTCTATTCTTGAAGAGCAGAGATCCCTCAAATAAGCAATTTGCCATTTCCCACATATTTTCTTAAACATACTGGCTCATCCAAACTTAACAAAGGGCATTGCTACTTCTGTGCCACCACTTCCCTACACCACCATAAAAGCCAGACCAGACCCCAATGACACGGTAGCTGCACAACACATGTGCTCCACACAACTGCTTTGATCATATCTGAAGTACTGCATTACAGCAGTATGCCAGGCAAGCATCCCACCTTGAGTCAATGAGCTGCCTGGAAAACCTCTGGAAAATGCCCCTATCCCTGGGATACACAAAATAGAGAAGAAACAGGATTCCCCGTCTTCCTCCTTTAGCCCAACACTTCCACCAGCCAAGACCCCAGCATGGCTGCCTTTACCTCCAGGGACTCAGAGGCTGCAGGGCGGAGCAGAACCCACAGATGGAAAGCAACAGCTCAGCAAAACGAACAGCCAGACTCCAGCAGGTAATTAATGAGTATTTATTTTAGTTTGCTGCTTATTAAGTATGCCTTGTTATAAATCAAGTATTTTACAGTAATTGCCTCCAATCAACAAACACTGAGAAAGCTGCTACGTAGACCAATGCTGCTTCATAAGTGAAAAGAGTCCCCTAGCAACAGGCAGGGCTCTACACCACTCTCCATGCGCAGCAGGCCAGCCGCCACTGCCTCGCTGCCCTTCTTGTGCCTCTCCTGCCCTGGCTGCACCCCAAGCAGCGCTGCTGCATGCCCAAGCCCTTCCCCGGCACTGCCAACCGCTGCACGCTGCTGCCAGGCTGCAAACGCCAGCACAGCAGGGCACTCGCTGCAAGGCTGGCAAGTCCCAGCCCAGCTGGCAGCAGCTCCTCGACAGGAACAGAGGCAATCCCCCAGGACAGGGAACGAACGCCCTGCAGCCAGGGCTCAAAGGCAGGGACAACTGGCTGCATCCCCTGCTTCAGCCACCAGCCCGTTGCTTCCACACTGGTGGCAGCTGCAGCGGGGAGCTGCTCTGCTGTTAGGGTCCATGCCCAGTGCTGAGCACAGTGCACTCACCCAGCTGAGCGGCTCCCAAGCCACTGCAGCAAAAAAAAACCAAACCAACACAGACACGCTTCCCTCTTAATTTACTTTCTGAGGCCTTTTCAGGGTTGGCACCCGCTGGCACTCAGAAGCCCACAGGAACAAGCCCTGTGTCATGCTTTCCACTGAGAGCTTTTTAAAGGTCAGCAGGAGCCTGCTGTTCCAGGTTTCTTCCTAGTGGTAGAGACCCAGGATAAGGAGATAGGGAAGACACTGCCAAATGCACAAGTAAATATGCATCTTAAAGAACTCCCTCTTTCAAAGGGGTCGGGGTGGTCAAGTGGTCTTGGGAGAACTAAATCCCTTCTTGCAGCATACGTCACCAGAACTGGAGTTTTCGGAGACTGTTGTTTTTTAAATACACGGGGGAAAAAGCTCTGACTAGATACTTTACAAAGGCCTATTGCAAGCAGGTTTCAGAACAGACCTTTGGATTGTACTTGAGCTCTGACAGCAAACGCTCTCTTAGCCACTGGGCCGTTCACCTTGGTTGTTTCTGTAACCTTTTCTCACGAGTTCAGAGACCCATATAAGAAGGGCCTAAGCAGAGCTCGCCATGCCCTCCAACCCCTCCTCAGCAGCCACCCCAAAGGCAACAAGCTGTTTCTGAAAACAGAAGGCAAAGGCAGTTCCCACCTCCAAAGTAGGAGGGCTGCGTTTTTTGAACATGCATCAGCATTTAAGGAAAGGTGTCAGGAGAGGCCAAACAGCACCACCATGACACTTGGTAAGGCATGGAAGAACAGGACAGCTTGTCTTCAGGACCTGTATCACAATGTGAAAGACTGCTGAGGTTCACCACCCTCCCCTTCCCAGAACAGGCTGAGCACATTAGTTGGATCGTAGCTGGAGGAGAGGTGGAGGGAAACAAATGACAAAACACACTCATAAGATTTTGGTTTAAAAGAAAACCAGCAAACAAACAAAACGCCCAAACAACAAACAAAAACCCAAAACCAAACCAAACCAAACCCCCAAACACCAAAACCCAACCTAAAGCAGAAATTCTCATATGAATCATACCAGTGCATAAGTAGATGCTTGGGCAGAGCCAAGACCAGCGAAGGAATCTTCCCTGCAGTTCTCGACACAGAAATCCTCCTGGATTTTGTTCTAAATCCCATTTGAAGAATTCCCTCTTTATGCTTCTTCCTTCAGCTCCCCCTCCCATTTTTGAAGAGACAACCTCAATTTATTAAAACAAAGCAACATCTTTCTTACAGAATCATCTGCTCTGATACAAGAATACACACCCACTGTTACAGAGTCGGCATATGCAACAGTGGGTACGAAGAAGATTAAATAAGGAGCACATGCACCACTTCTCTTATAACCTAGTCCCCTCCGGCACTCATTCCTTTTAATCCTTCTGTTTTCTTTCAGGGCTCTTCAGCATAGGGAAAGACTTACACCCCATTTACACTGGGGTGTTGGCATCACCCAGTGCCAACTTTATCTGAATCACAGCCAGGCACTTGGCACTTCAGGCATAACACATGCAACCTCCAAATGCCATGTCCTATATACTGTAGCCTACATGTGGTTGCCTTCATTTGTACAGTCACTTGATCAAATATCTTTTCCACTATGGAAAACGCTACTTCTGTTGCGCTTTACAGGGGGTGCATTTAACAGGGAAACAAACAATCATTGCTAACAGAGTGAAAAAAAATCAGATGATGCACTTACAGAGCAAATTATTATGAATTCTGTAAAGAAAGGAGGATGGAAATCACAGTATTTTGGGGAAGAAGTAGAGATCTTGGAAAAAACCCTCAGCTAATAAAATATGTAAAGCAGTTCCAGTCATGACAGGTTTAATTTCAGGACAACTGAGTAATTCTCAGTTCTACATGTATCTCCAAGTACCCAGCCAACAGCAGACATTTGACAATCACTTCGGTGAAAACACCATCTTCCTCCCTTGTTGCTGCATAAGAACAACAACAAACCACCACACAGGAAAAATGTCATGCCATCAAGAGAGAAGAAAAACCCCAAACCAGCACAGAAACCTACTGTAGAAGCACTGTCAAAAGCAGCATGTAACCTAACCAGATAAATAACAGATTTTGTTGCTATCTCTGAGTGAGGTTTCACAATCAGCTTAAGCTGATCTGTGGCCACCCTGCTGCTTAACACTCCCACTCTCTCCCCTGGTGTGTGCCTCGGAGAAGCATCCTGCCCCACCAAGGCAGAGGTGGGTGGGCAGGACGGCAGGACTTGAACTTTCAACAGCAGTGTGAGCTCAAATTTGCTCCAGCTGGTCTTGAAACCACACTCCCTTTGGAAAGCACCTTAGGCATTGCTCCTACTCCATGGGAGCCTAGAGAATCCTACTGCTGCTCCCTGCAGAGTTCATTGTCCATACTAGGGCTTCGCTGCGGCTTTTCACATACCACCCAACCACCCCTTTATTTCGGGAGCATCTTGTAATTCTCTCCTTCTCTTTGCGGCCACCTCTTCCCTTCTCCATGAGCCAGGGCCTGTGCGCAAAACTTCTTCCTGCTTCCTCTCTTGTCGCAGAAGGCAGGAATATAACCAAGGCATTAACAAATCAAACCTTGCTGAGCAAGCAGGCAAAATTTCCCAGGGCTATAGGTAACCTGTTGTTTGATCCACAGGCCCTAAGAGAGGTGACTGCTGCTGGTAGCTCTGGTATTACATTCAGTAGCAGATAGCAAGCCAGATCTAAGATCTTTCAAGTTCAGACAGCAAGAAGGTAAAAATAATCAGACACTGAAGACATGGACGAGGTGACAGAAATCGGCAGCTATCAGTGTGGAGGGCCGCCATTCTCTCTTCATTCACAAAAGAAACAGCAGAACTGGAGCACAGAGCGCTCCTCACACTGACCAGCTGCGTGCTGGTTGTGACCGGGCTGCTCTGGGCTGCTGTGCACATGGACAGACTGCGATTTTACAACACAAATTAGGCAGGTGCAAAACTATTCAGCCGAAACTAGGCTTGTACCAATGCAACCTGTAAGTTTAGAGGTGCCCATTAAATTTGCTGGAATTAATACATATGTCCACACAGGAATCTGTATAACTTTGCAACGTGCTTTCAAGCTGATTGCAAACTGCAAGAACCTGGCCATTCAGCTGTGAGCATGAAAGCCCTATTTCCAGAGATGAGACTCCCACAGTCAGATAAACAAGTCATACACTTTTCAAGTGCAGAACAGTACATACAACTTCATGCTTTAAGATTTTCTTTGATATTTACTCACACTTATCTCAACAATTTTATCTCCTTTCCTTTGCCACACTGTCACTATTTTCTTTTCTATTTTTGCATGCCTCTCATTCTTATTTTCTGGCTTTACTACATGCTTCACTACTTTTCTTCTCCTGTAACTCTGGCCCCAGCAGTTTGTTTGTTTAAAATCTGTTTCAGTTCAACTGATTGATGCTAACAAGGACACTCTTAAATTTACCTTTCAACTTAGGTACATCCTAAATCAAATTACACTAAAAATAAACAAAGCATAACCACAAATTTTAACCACTGGAAATAGAGTCTTGTCCAAACCACTGTATTTTTCATTTTCCTGGTTTATTATTAGTATAGTTCTGTCTCATTCTCAGTCCACTCTTTTTTTCCAAGAACGACTCTTTTCCCATTATCCTCATTAGACACTTTCCTACCCACTTCCATCTAGCACTGACCAAACTCACAATTTCTGCAACACCAACGAGCGTCTGTGTATCTGCATTCCTCCACTTCC